TCTACAAGTCTTCCTACCATTATGACCAAGTTGCGAAAACAAGGTCAAACAACTTCTATAAGATAATTTATTTATCCAGTACAGAGCTGGAGAATCGTGTGAACCTTCTACTGTAAAGAGGAATAAATTTTGCACTGCCGAATGAAGTAAACGATTCTCTGGCTGACTACTTACGCCAAAGTAGTCCTTGTTCTGAGCAGAGTATCTCGATATTTAGTTCGTAATAATCTAATTGTTATAAAAGCCGAAAAAAGTGGAGCAGTTATGGCTTAGATAGATCAAGTTATCTAGAGAAAATACTTGTACATTTAAATGGCATTGATACATATAAGCCTTTAATGAAAGATCCTATATAGGGACTTAAAACTAGACTAAGAGATGCTTTGAGGGTATAAGTAAGTAATGGGGAAATGGAGAAGTGGAAAATGGATTCAATGCTTAAAAGAGATGCTAGGGTACCCTCTGCATATGGTCTTCCAAAGGTGCATAAACAAGGGTGTTCTCTTAGTTAACAATAAGGATGGTGTTATGCATAGAATCTCACGTTTTTATGCAGACAATTAAGAAAAGTGACCGAATTTTTGTTATTTTCGCTAAAAAACTCTTATGATTTTGTTAAACTGATGGACCGGCAGAATATTTCAAAAGAAGATGTATTTAAGACGTATTTAAGTAGAGTTTCGAGACTAACAGTAAATAAGTAATATGAGATGTAATCACCCAATTTCGTTTAAGGTGATGAAGGACTGGTACAAGAATTTTTCTACAATGATATGAGTAGAGCTGGCATTTCCATTGAATTTCACATAGCCTTGATTTCCCAAAAGTTGTTCTCATCCAGGATGGACTGCAGTTTCGACCTCGCATCGGTCTTATCAACACCCCCAGCGGGAGTCGAACCGTGACAATGCGGAATGTGAGCTTGGTACGTTAACCATTCGGCCACATTGCCACGAAAGGCCTTGGGTCACAGGGCAAATGTGAATTTCAAAGAAGGCCAGGCCTTTTGCCATATCATATCCCTTGGTGGGATTGTGGGAAAATCCTACTACTACCTTTATCACCTTAAACAAAATTAGGTAAATACATCTCATATTACTGATTTATTGGTAGTCTCGAAACTCTACTTAAATATGAAAAAAAAGTAACGTAATCGATTGTTATAGCAAATATACGTTTGCTTCATCGACAATCCTACCAAAGAATATGATATGACAAAAGGCCTGGCCTTATTTGAAATTCACATTTTCCCTGTGACCCAACGGCACTCGTTGCAATGTGGCCGAGTAGTTAACGTGTCAAGCTCACATTCTGCATTGTCACGGTTCGACTCCCGGTGGGGGTGTTAATAAAACCGATTTAAGGTTAAAACTGCTGTCCATTCTGTATAAGAACAACTTTTGGGAAAGCAAGGCTATGTGAAATTGAATAGAAACGTCAGCTCTACCCATATCATTGTGGGAAAATTCTACTACCAGTCCTTCATCACCTTAAAAGTAATTGGGAGAATACATCTCATATATTAGTAAGTTGTTATGTGGTATAAATGTACACAAATTTTCCAGTTCAATGAGCCATGTATGCTCTAATGCTCACCATAGAGGAGCATTCAGAGATTCTAAGGCTCCTTAGCCTATCCATGAGTATACATATTTCATCTTTGACAGTAATTTTTATGAACAGACACTGCAATGGGTTCTTGCTTATTTCCAATTTTGGCGAATAACTACATTGCTAAGTTTGAGGAATGCTTAATTCAAAAGATAATAGCATCATTGTCTACGAGTCTCCAGCTGCCTACTTTGACAATTGGCAGGCCATTTTCAAGGGTTGACTATTCCACTTCCATACTTAGGGATCCAATATTTCGAATTAATCTAGCATATCAACGTTAAAATATGCTACATCAAAGGAGAAGATTAATCATCCACAGGCATTTTTATATCCTGTCTTGCTAAAGCACGAAATGAGTAAGCTATTTGCAAAATTGATAAATTTACATCCTTCAGAAACTTCCAATTCGATATCTCTATATGGACCATTGACTTGATACATTTCCAAACGTTTCGCCGGCATCGTCAGTGCGAGGGCTCATCGTAGGCACAGAGTTACAACTTATCAGTGACAAGTTATAATTCTGTGCTTACGATGGTACCTCTCACTGACGCTGCCGGCAAAATGTTTGGGAATGTACCAAGTCAATGGTCCAATACTGAAAATCACGAATACTATGGCAGAGAACAAGGGACTAGGTACGTTCCACAAGGTATCCCTGACGCTCCGACCAAGTTATGAAAACAAGGTAGAACCAACACTATAAAGCTAAAGGAGACTGTGATCAGACAGGACACACTATCTTGGTCCTCATGACTACACAAATACTTACTACTCTAAGGGCAAGCAAAAATAGACAGGTCAGCCAAATAATCCTTAAATAGGGAAATTCAAATTTCACTAAGCAGATAGAGCGTAAGCTTGAAAATAATAAAAATCCAGATTGATAGGGTTTGAAGGAATAAATAGGCATTCAAAGAATGCGAAAAAAGATATGTCTGTATTGGCTTACAGTCCATGCGTAACGTTAAGCCGGTATATTATCGCGCAGCGTAATCTCACAACTAGATGATTCAAATATGATTAGATCCAAATGGAGTCTAGACAAAAATCTTGCCCAAATTGAGGATAATGAGAATACAAGAGAAACTACAGGCCCTCGCTTCGATCGAACCAAGGCTTTATTTTTACGATGTTATGTCGAGGTATTCTTAACATGTCTTTCACATAGCAAACAAACGCTAAAGAAGATGCACCAAGGGCCGATATATACAGAAATGCACGGAACAAGGCAAGTCATAAGGCAGACTCTATTTTATAAAAGATAAATCCCCTCAAATACAATACAGTGGTGATATGCATTTTGAGGGAGGTGCTTAATGAAGAGATTTAAAGATCGAAGGAAATTGTCCCATGCACCACTTGAACTTGAACGTCATTGAAATCAAGAGAATAAAAGAAAGAGAATTCGCATTCTTTTCCAGATGGAGTCACCCGTGAATCTCTTATATCACACATTTAGGAAAAAGGAAAGTCACAGTTTCATTTTTTCTGCAATGAGAACAGCCTATGAAAAAAGCTCATTCAATATTTAATAAGAAATGAAAGGTCTAAAAGCAATGCCTAAAGTTACCAGATAATTGAGAGTAAACAAGTAGACAGAGACTAAAGAAAGCAAGGTAAAGTATTTTAGTGACAATAATATTACCTCTTCAGTAGCCTCATGTTTAGCCATCAGACGAGCATGCGCCTTAGTCAATCGAAAAAGACTTTCCAACAGTCTAAGTGTAGTTCGACCTCCACTACTACCACTACAGGTATCGCCAAAGTGCAGGGCAGAATTTGAGATTGTCTCTCGCCTTCTCCAACCATAATATAGCTGCAGCAAACGACCCGCTGGAGGAGTGAGACGCGGCTGAAACTCAGAACGCACCCAAGTAAAATATTGACGAAGACGGTCGGACGACCAAATGTGAAGTGGATGCTGCGGATATAAATTGTGTAGAGAAAAAAATAAAGTGAACAAAGGCATAATTGAGGAAACTAATATAAATTATTACACATACATACCATATTTATTGAGTTGCTTAGATCAAACCAGGAACACCCTGTATATATGAGGACTAAGGTGATGTGGCCTTATGTTCGGTCGCAGTCTACTCTAGCCGAAGTGTTGATTTGATCCCATTTTCGTAATCTGATCAGTGACATTGAGACCTTGTGGGGCATACCCAATCCTGCGTCCTCTACCACAGTATTCAGGATAATTTCCAGCATTGTTGAGCTTACTTCCATTTTAAGTGAAAGCATTTGGCGAAGAGATTCGAAGGTCGATCCCAAAAGAAGACGACGGCAGATTTCTCCTGACGAGTTGTTGATTGGCTTTACTGAAACATCCTTGTTGGCGCTGTTTCCGAGGTAATCTTCTCCAATTACAGTGAAAACATGCCTCGAAAACAGCATCAACAACAAAGTTCCAGTAAAATTAATCGATAGCTGGTTAGGAGGAATCCGCCTTAGTCTTCTTGTGGAATCAACCTTGAAATCTCTTCGCCAAACACTTTCACTCTAAATTTAAGTAAGCTCAACACTTAAGAAACAAGAGATTCGTCTAAACCCAACTTTTTTTCGCATATAATTGGTACATTCTCAGACGTTTCGCCGGCATTGCCACTGAGAGGCACCACCCTTAGCGCATAGTTACAAGTTGCGAATATAACAAGTTACCAATTTTCTGTTCTTTAAACGTAGATATGAGCACCAAGATGTTGCGGCCTATATTTTGGTCGTAGTCTCATTTTGATATATACATGTAATTTGACCTCGTTTTCACAACTTGGTCGTGTTGTCAGGGCGACTTAATCGGACTCACCTTGTCCAAACTTCTCCGCTGTAGCAGTTATGATAATAACCAATGTCGGACCACGGACTTGGTACATTCCTAGACATTTCGACAATATTGTCAGTGATTCTTGCTATTCTCAGCACCAAACTAAAACTCGTCAGAGACAAGTACAGTCAATCTCTTGACCATCGCACCTTAGCCAAAGGTGTGTTCAACTAACCTTTCTGTAGAATTACTGATGTTCTTTAATTCTTAAGCTGATTGCCCTTTCCATTTATCTAATGCACTTTTGCTTGCAGCTCTTGTAGCCTATGCGATGAACTCCAGAGTAGTTCATTTTGTTGGATTTTCATGTTATGTAGTCAAGCTTGTGAAAAGCGCTATCTTTCTTTCAAAATCGTACGAATACTTTATTCCATTAGCAGCGGCCTCAGCCTCAGGACTTGTTCGCCGAAGGATAGACTCACCAATCATTTTTTCCCCCTGTATTTCTTGTTTATCCGTTAAAATCCCCATCCTGGCATACGCTCGATACGACCCGTATATTTCGCAGTATATTTTTTAAAATTATTTTTTAATAACTACCCAATTGAGTTCGTCCAGTTGATCGATGAGTCTTGAGGTTCTGATGACTCACGAATACTCTTGAGTATTCCGATCTTCCTTTTGAATTGTGGTGAGAATGGAAAGTTAGGGCTAGTCCAACGGACTAGAAACTTATGATTAGATGGTACTGATAAAGACAGTCAGTTTTCACTTGTCACGGATACTTTAATACTGCACTAAGGCGTCTCGTATTGGTGTTTAATAAGATATAACTGACTTGCCGACCGCGAAAACAAGGTTAAGTCAATAGTAGGAATTACTTGAATCGTAATTGGCTGGATAATTAAACAAAAAAACAAATGGCGAGCTAATAATAAGGGAGGATGCAACGAATAATTATTTGCACAACTCTAGTGTGGCTAATTTAGGAAACCCTTCTGCTTGTCTCGTCAGATTAAACGAAAGATTTACCAACATTAAGTTGTTAAGGGATTCTTCGGAGCCCAATTCTTCTTATATCTATGAAGCTTTAAGAATATAGCCAAGAAAATAAAGTACAAGGAATACTGCTTGCCTGATTATGTGAGGTTTTGGAGCTTTCAGCTTCGTCGGCATCATCGAGATGAAGGACGAAATTCGCCAATCGTTTGTCCCAAGTTGGGCAATCTAAGGGGTCGACGAGATGCCAGATCAAATCAAACCGACTGATAAGTGAAGAAGATAAACGGCCAGTGATAGGTTGTTCTCTACCTAAATCAAACATAATTACTATTGAAGCAAGAAAGATTAAGCGATTTTCGATAATCTTCAACTCACTTTAACGAAAACTTGACAGAATCAAGATAGGGATAAATGTTTAGAAGCTATAAGGGAATAAATATAGAAGCAAACTTCGAAATTCTGTTAAAAATCTTTTATTATGTAAACGGCGCTCGAGATAGACTAACCTAGATCAGGGGGAGGATTTGCCGCGGCAACTAATGAACATCGACAATTTAAGCGAGCAACAAGCCCAGCTTTCGCCAGACTAATCGTCTGCTGCTCCATCGCTTCGTGAACTGCAGCCCGATGAGATTCGGGTAGGCGCGTAAACTCGTCGACAGCGCATATCCCACCGTCAGCAAGAACCAGTGCGCCAGGTTCCAAGAACCAACCAGCAGCGTCCCTCGCGGCTACTGCAGTTAATCCAGCAGAGGTCGCACAAGGAGCGGAAGTCAGTACTGCCCTTCCTGGACAAAGGCGAACTGCACTCCTAAGAATAACCGATTTAGCCGTGCCTGGGTCACCTATCACTAGCAAATGCGGGGTACCTCGGACACGTGGACTATTTGAGGAGACTACAAGAAGCAATTTGACTAATAATACGAAGGAACGTTACCTGAAGCATGTCTCCAACTTGGTGCGCCAGCTAAGACTAACGCCAAGGAAAGCTTAACCAGATATAGACCGTATATCTCAGGGCAGATAGACGAAACCAGGATGTTGCGACGAGAGAGGGCCCTAAGAAATTCACTTGCTGAATCCGACCAAAAAGTTTCGAAATACAGGCACACCTCTCTGCTCAAGCTGCTTGCAACTTCACCAGCTCTAATATCGGAAAGATTCTCTACATTGTTTGCGCGGATAAATATTTCTATCTGAGGAATCGCATCTTTCTTGGGGGGTGTCCATCGACGGCATACGATGCCATTAATAATTACATCATCACCGGGCTTAACCATGCTTACTAGATCATCTTCAAGACTCACTAACATGGATCTGGGCATTACACCAACTGTGAGGCAGCGAAATTGTTCTTGGACTCTTATTTCCTGATAATTCCGAACTCTTAATGGCTTTTTTGAGTCTTGACGTACTTTTGTAGAAGAACAAAAATTTTCTAAATTAAAACAAAAGGATGGAGGTTTGAACGCATGATTAGTGCTATAATCCGAGCAAATATTCATTTGGTGACCACAATCATGGCAAATATAAGATCTTTCAGATTCAAGAACTTGTATCGGTCCAATGCGCATGACAATCGCACGAAGAGATATAAATCTACCGGCGTCCAAAGAACTTGGAAGTTTATCTCTATGAACCTCGGGTACGATCGGGAGCGCCGTAAATCTAACGTGCAAGGAGTCACGTAAATTTGAGCCAAGCTCCACAGCCAACTGAGAAAGTGACTTATTTAAAAGGCTGATTGTCTCTTCTGGATGAAAGAGAATGAGCTGAGAAAAAACGCTGTTGAATTCGCATAGGCAATTAAAATGAACGAGAATGGAGCGGTGCCCAGTAGATTTTTTTGACTGTGAAGATTCAATAAAAAAATTTTTGTGTTCTGTTTTTATATACTCATTAAAAAGAGATTGAATATAACTTTTATGAAATTCAGTGTTCAAAAATTTGTCCTTAGGTTTCGAATGAGTCATACCAATGGTAAGAATAAAATCACACAAAAAGTCGCCAAAAATATATAA